GTATGGGGCCCTCAGAGATGCCGGTATGTGGCCCTTAGAGACACCGGTGTGGAACCCTCAGATACTTCAGTGTGAAGCCCTTGCAATTGCTGGTGTGGAGAGCTGAATGCGCTGGCTTAAATCCCTCAGAGGCCGGTACATGGACATTAGAGCTCAGTGAGAGCTTGTGTGGTGCCTTCAGTGGCCTTGTGGAGCCGTTAGACATCAACATGGTGCTCTCAGGAGCCGGTGAGTCCTCAGAGTCACCGGTGTGGGGCCTTCAGAGCTCCGAGATACTGGTGTGGGGCCCTCAGAGGTGTCGGTGTGGGTCCTTCAGATGTACCTATAGAGCCTTGAGATGCACAGGTGTGGTGGCCCACAGAGGCGCCGGTGTGGGGCCCCCAGAGCCACCGATATAGGGCCCTAAGAGACACTAGTATGACCCTCAAGGACGCCGCTGTGTGGCGCCCATAAACACTGGTGTGGAGCCATCACAGACGGGTGGAGCCGTTAGAGGCCGGAAAGTGCCCTTAGATGCCTACAAGGAGCCTTCAGAAGCCGGCGTGGCACCCTTATGGGGATAAACGTGTCTGCTTAAGAGCCCTTGAGGTGCTCTCATGAGCTCTGTGGGGCCCTACCGAGCCGAAATATGGCCACGGCCAGTTGCCGCCGCATGGCTCTTCGGACTATCATTCTCAGGGGCCTCATCTGCCTAGTTTGAATAGAAGGGCCTCTCAGACCATCAGTCTCATGGGCCTCCTCTGGCTAGTATAAATAGAAGGGCCTGTTAGACCATCAATCCTAGGGGCCTCCTCTGGTTAGTATAAATAGAAGAGCCTCTCAGACCATTAATCTCAGGGGGCTCCTGTGGACAGTATAAATAAAAGGGCCTCTCAGACCATCAGTCTCGCGGCCTCCCTAGAAAAGTGTAAATGTGGATAGAGGGCCCCCTCAGATTCATTAGGAGTGGACCTCTCTGACTATCAGTCTCAGGGGCCTCTTGTGGCCAGTATGAATATAAAAGCCTCTCAGACCATCGGTCTCAGGGGTCTCTTCTGACTAGTGTGGATAGAGGGCCCTCCCAGACCACCGGTTTCAGGGGCCTCCAGTGGCCAGTTATATGAACAGAAGGGCCTCACAGCCATCAGCTTCGGGGGCCTCTTCTGACTGGTGTGAATATGAGGGCCTCTCATACCATCAGTCTCAGGGGCCTCCTCTGCCTAGTATGAATATAACGGCTTCCCAGGCCATCAGTCTCAGGGGACTCTTCTGACTGGTGCCGGATTGAGGGACCTCCCAGACCGAAAGTTTTGGGGGTCTCATGTGGCCAGTATGAATAGAAGGGCCTCTCAGTCCATCAGTCTCATGGGCCTCTTCTGCATGGTGTGATTATAGGGGCCTCTCAGGTTATCAGTCTCAGGGGCCTCCTCTGACTACAGTGTAGATGGATAGGCCTCCCAGACCATCAGTCTCAGGGGCCTCTTCTGACTATTGAGGATAGAGGGCCTCCTCTGACTAGTGAGGGAAGGGGGCCTCGGCTAGACCTCCAGTGTCAGGGGCCTATTCTGACTAGTGTGGATGGAGGGGCCTCCCAGACCACCAGTCTCAGACCTCTGACTAGTGTGGATAGAGGGGCCTCCCAGACCGCCAGTGTCAGGGGCCTCCCCAGACCAGTGTGGATATTGGAGCCTCCTCAGATCCACTAGGGCCTCTCAGGCCATCAGTCTCAAGGGCTTCGGCTGACAAGTATGAACAGAGGGCCTCCTTGGATCCATCACGGCCCCTTGGAGTCCGTGCGTGTGGATTCGTGGAACTTATTTTTACCGAGTTTGTTTATTCTGGAAAGTGACGACGTCCTCTCAAATCGAGACGAGGGGCCTCGAGTAAAAAGTGGGTGGGCCAAAACACATGGTTGGCCCCCCCCCCCCCACCTCGAAAAGTGGGTGGGCACTTGCCCACCTGGCCCCCCCTGTTCCTACGCCTATGAATGAAATTATGGTATGAACCAACTATTTTGCATTCCTTCAGAGTTAACAGTTCTGAGAAAATCCCTCAAGATCCATCTCGGATCCATGGCTCGTGATCATGGATCCGAGATGGATCTTGAGGGATTTTCTCAAAACTGTAAGCTCTGAGGGAATGCAAAATAGTTGGTTTGTTGACAGACATCTGTTAGCCAAGCTTTCCACACTAATTCTGTATTGGTGTTTTGCCAGCTGCCAACGTATAAGGGTCTGGAAAATTGGATTTCTGGAAAATTGGAGTTGGATATAGTGAAAAGTGACTCTTGAGTGGTGTTCTTTTTAGCAACCGGCGAAAAAGCGAGAGGTGTCAGATTCTACCTCCCCACCCAAGCGGATCACGGGTTAAAGCAAGCCACCAGTTTTCACGGCTCACTAACACTATCCATTTGTCCACAAGACTCCAAGGATCACCAGCACTGTTCCATGGGGCTGCGGAGCTGATGGATTTTTGGTGACTCCGACTCCGACTCCGGCTAATGCCAGAACTGTCGACTCTGATCGACTCTGGCTCCGACACCGACTCTGGCTCCGAAATCCTGCACTGTTGTTTATTTCTTTCAAAGAAACGTGAAACAGATTATGCGTGAATAGTACACAATCAAGGCAAAGTTATACCTACACTAAATAAGTTAGAAAGGCTGCAATCTGTACCAACTTAAATGGTGCGAATTTACAAAGGGTCGATCAGCTGTTTTCCTTGAGTCCACCTGTTCATCATTATTGATTGATAAAAGCTGCAACTGTGTGCTGTGCTTTGCATACGACCAACTGGCATGCATTTGCTCGTATATGACTCGAAACTCGGAAGTACTCATTCATTGGCTGACGGTGGATTTTTATTATCGTTAATTAGTACTAGTGATGTCAAAAAGATAAAGTTTTGAAACCGATACCAAACCGAATACCAACTCAACAATGGTAAAATACCGAAAGCCAAGCCAACTTGTAAAATTGCTAGAAATACCAAGTTTCACCAAATTCAGAGAATAATATACAGGGCCTCGGCTAAGGAATTTTGACTGGTGGGCCACTTGGGCAGCGACATGGACTGACCTTTTTAGACATAGCCCCCCCCCCCTAATTTTCGATTTCTCTCCAGATTTCGGCCACTTTATTGTGCAAAAACGTCAGGATGGCATTAAAAATGTAAAAAACGGGGCTCGACACCCCCCCCCCCCGACTCTTCAGAGAGAGGAGAGAGTAGGGACCCACAATTCTCTCAGTGGTGATACTCAGGCGAAGCACATAAAATCGCACAAGTATGCACAAAATATTGACGCAGATTATAAAACTTTGGACGATAGCTTGCGGCCGGTCGGATGTTAAAAATCAGCGAGCCCTGAGTGGATCGCTCGCCGACTAGTCGGAGATTCGGAAGCAGTCGGACGGGATCGGGCGTTGTTGGGTGGATCGGGAGGAATTGTTAACAGCACGAGTGCAACTTTATATATAAAGTGGGTTGTAGCAGGAACCCCAAAAGGCGGTTGTAGCAGCAACCCCAACATCTCTGAAAATGATAATTGATCATTAAGCCTATTGGTGTCGCATGGAAAAGAATTCACTCAAAAGCCCAAGCGCACTGCGCAACCCTAATATTTTATAAAAAAAAGTTATGTGCACTTCTGGTGAACAGTGTCCCAAACCAAACTTCAGATTTCTCTTGGGCGTCTGAGTGGAAAATTCTAGCCACCCAAAATGTGAGAGTGGAAAATTATCCATTCTTATTCTTGAGTGTCATCTTCAGCCAAAATGAGAAATTTTTGGAACGCTGATTGTGAACGGTTCGAAATTCGTCCGACTAGTCAAATGTGTGACTGCAAGCATCATACCGGTCGTGAAGACGCATAATATCGCTTGCAGACTTCAATCGCCTGGAAGTCGCCGACACTACCTCTAGTTTGACTCTGGCTTATATCGTGTCTATCGGCGAGCCGTCTGAGATCGCTTGCAGGCTTATCCCCGACCGTCTGAACTGGTCTGTTCTTTATTCGTAGTTTTTCTTGTAACCGACTGGTCTGCGGCAGATGCTTATGTGACTGCAACCACTCGATCGATCGGAAAGCTTGCAAGAGCTCTCGCAGACCTCGATCAGCTGGAAGCCGCCGAATCTGTAATTGACAGAGGCAGACGTCTTTCACGATTATTGCATAAAATTTAAAGCCTTGGTCACACTTCACCGGATTGGACCAACGGCCGAGAAACGGACGAGAACTGTCAGCGTCCAGTGATGTCCGTTTGTTTCCGTTGGACGTCCGTTTGTCATCCGTTAATATCCGTTTCATGTCCGGTGGTGTCCGGTTGAGCACACCGGACAACCGGACATGGAACGAATATTAACGGATGAGAAACGGACGTCCAACGGAAACGAACGGACATCCCCCGGACATCACCGGACGCCGTCCGTTTCTCGTCCATTGGTCCAATCCGGTGAGGTGGTGGATTTTTTTTTTAAGCTGCGGGTATTATAGTCCACTTTTTACCCGCAAGAGGGTATTGCAAACAATAGGTTGACGTTTTTTTTCACAAAAATATGTTTCACCGATGGGTACTTAACAGCCTGAAAATGTACGATAAGATCTGCTAATTCAATTTGAAATGTGAAAAATGTGAAAACTTATATTTTTTGGAAAATTACTGGTGGGCCAGATCTTTGAGGCTGGTGGGCCATTTCGGGTCACTGGTGGGCCATTTGGCCCACCAGTTAACATGTTAGCCGAGGCCCTCTGATAATATATGTATATTAATGATGCCTCATAACACTAATGAAAGGTCAAATGCATTAGGATTGAAATACCAAATAACAAGTTGGCATCGGGTTGGTATCGGTAACCCCAAAAAGTTGCTATCCGATTGACATCTCTAATTTCTACCTTGCGTTGCTCATTATGCGCTCTGTCTCATAAATGGCGCTTTCTAACTGATCTGTTTCCGTCTTTCCAAACATTCCTTTCTTCGGTGTTGACTCTCCGGTCATTCTTTCCTTTTCTTCTGCCGCAGGAAGTTCTTCACTTCAGTCGGCGACAAAATGGGAAATGTCGTGGACGGAACAACGCACAGTAAATTGTCGCCATTTCAAAAAGAGAAGCTACTCCACGAGTTCTTCGTATTTTTCGGTGAGTGTGTTTCAGAGCGCGGCACGTAAATACGGACATCACGGCACTGAGTCTCTCACTAACTGGGGACAAAAACAACTTTAGACAAGTTGTTAGCATAGCTGACTGGTTAGTGGTTGATTGAAATTGAAGCAGGTAAGCTAGCACATGAGCATGATAATGAAATACGTACCCACGAATACATTTTGTAATTATTTAACCCTCGCCCGTATACCGTAGGGTTAAATAACAAAATGTAGGGGGGGGGTCGAACGAGCCCCCTCGGTTTTTCGCAAATAACTCGCGTAAAAAGCGGTCGATCGCGGCAAAACTTTCATTACTCTCGCGTTTATCAATTTTATACGTACCCTGAAAATTTCATGACCCTGACCCAAATTACCTTTCACCTGTGACCTACTTTTCGAGATCATATTTGGCCGGAATCGCGATTCGGCGTATGTCGGCTCGCATTAGCCACGCGTTTGCAGTCTTTTCGTGGTTTCAAGCACTCAGACATGTGATTTGGTGTTGGTCCCATGCATTGGGGTAGGTGTCAAGGTCACCTGAAGGCTAGGTCAGGTCATTTACCTTTGATGACCTCGGTCCACTTTTTCGAGTTTCACATATTTTAGGCTAGTTTTTTTAGCTGAATTTGAATTTAGCAACTATTTTAACATTTACGAAATAGTTTTGGTGTCTTTGTACCATCTTACGAAACTGTCAGCGGCTGACACCTACTACAAATACCCGGCAGGACCGGCCCCTACTGGTTCACCTGACCTGACCTGACCCGACCTAGCCTAAATACATGAAGACATCACCTGTGATCAAAAGTAACATGTATTCGTGATCAGCACCCCGATAAACCTCATGGCAGCCACACTTTACGACGTTCTAACAGGTCTCGATTTTTCCGACTTTTGCGTCATTGACGTGACCTGGAAGGTTAACCAATGATCTAGAACCTTAAAATTAGGGATCATCGCGGCTTTCACTCGTCACGGGCAACACGCTCGTTTTTACCGCGAAGCTCTAGCTCTATCAGGGGCGAAACGGCAAGGGGGTCCAACGGACCCCCCCCCCTTATACATTCGTGGCTGGCAAAACACCAATACATGGGCGAGGGTTAAATGGTTCAACTGCACTGTACTCACTTTTGCAGGTTACCTCATTGGTGTCTGATGATTATGGTCGAATTATTCAAGACCGCCTTTTCACCTTCAGAGCTTGAAAAGCCATACAAGCCTTATACCTACCGTTAACATCGGCCAGCTGAAAACACACGGGTCTCACTCTTGATTTTACTTTTTCACTGTTACCACTTACCATTGCTCTTTTAGAGCCACATTTATCATTTATTTGTGCATATAACGTTGAATACAGATTATTCAAACTTCAGTTGCAAATTATCGGGATATATCTCTTTGAAGTAATAACTAATAAGCATCCCTGTTGTGTCTGGCTCACCCACTGGCCTCGATGAGACGGTGGCGTTGATTCGACGCTCCCGTCATCTGTGCTGACTGCTGCTGCCCTCTAGACACATCGCTTCTTTTTCAACGCCGTTGTTATCCGTGCACCGTGCACGTGCCCGTGACTGGCCATGTGTTCTACGACAGCCGTGCACTACTGTAATACCAGACGCTTACCAGAAGAGGGTTATCACTGTGCCACAGTGCCATGCAGACATTCACGTGTCAAAAGTGACGTTATTATGCTTGAATCTTCTGTAACGCTTGGGACAGACATCTGGTAGGAAGCTAGAAAGAATTGTTTGAATCTATTTAAAAGCTTTCTAGACGACATACAGCTCAGACGACATGCATTTTATTGGGTAATGGGTGCGAAATGTTATATGCTGCCTGTAACAGCTGGAAATGCATCTGAAGTCTGAACTGTATTTTGCCTAGCACGGAGATTTTACTTCACCAGCTGCGTATGAGGCTGGCATTGTTATCCTATTATCAGTTCAGCACGGGGTGACCTTTATCTTTGTATCTTTAGATCTCTATTTTAAAAGCTGGATGTACTAGGTCAGTAGGTACACATTTGGGCTCCAATTTCTTCACTATTAAATCCTCCTAGCAAGAGATAAAACATGTTTACCTCCAATCGACCTAGCCAAAATCTGTCTATGACCCGTAGTTTAGGTACTCATGCAAAACTTATCTAATTGAATTATGTTATGCAGGATCTGTTCCAGGAATAACGCATGGTTACTCTTACTTAACTGGCTCTGACCTGCTAAACGATCTAGTGTAACTAGATCCGTAACCGACGCAGGTGACTGGTGAACAAAATATCTGCTTCAAACTCCGTGTGTCCATAAGAAAATGTACACTTGATCCTTACAAGTTTTTCAGTGAACTGTTCCTTAAAAGCATTTGAATGAAAATACCATTCTTTAGAAATCTTGGAAATATGCATGGTGATAAAAGGAGTGTCAAACTGCTAACAAAAATCCAATCGGCTTTCAACTGAGCAAATGAATAGGGCGATATCTTAATCAAAATGTTAAATATTCGAAGAAAAAGCATTACGGACTTACGTACACATTGTGAGCGAACGAACAGGCCAATGAATGAATCAAATTGAATATGAATAAATGAATAAAGGAAGGAATGAAGAATGAATGAATGAATGAATGACCTATGCTATTTTTTGAATCACCTTTCTTTGGGGCAATGCCCTTATGTCATGTGTAAATGAATGAATGAATGAATGAATGAATGAATGAATGAATGAATGAAGCGTACGCATTGCATGTGGCATTTAAGTTCTCTCGAACCATCGCATAAAACATCTTACATCCTCACCTCACCGTATTTGCTTCCACGCAGCCCCCCACATGTGATGCTTTTCGTCCCACATCCGATAACATCACACATCTTCCCCAGACCGCGACAAGAACGGTCGTCTGACATTCTCCGACTTTTGTCTACTGCGGGACCACATCTGCCAACTGAGTGGCTGGCAGCCGGGCAGCGCCAAGCGGCGTCACGCCGAGGACCTGTTCCTGCACATGTGGCACGACCTGCAACTGCAGGCGGACGTCGACCATGACGACGTCATCACCGCAAACGAATGGGTGAGGCGGCCTACAGCGAGGGGATGTGGTTGTTACGTTGCCGAGAGTCGAGTTGATGATTTTCTTGTATCACATCAGTTATGGTTGTCAGATACTCATGCGTCTCCGTACACTTTGCCAATTATGTTGTTTTCATTTGTGCCTGCGGTTTTAGCTGTATGGTGTGAACATTCTGTAGCGGTATATAGGTAATGAGTCATATAAATGCGTCATGTATGCGGGTCGTCCTCATGGGTCAAGAATCACGACAATAACCTTTCTCAATCATGAAGGGAGGAACTACATCTTTTTTTCTGTGGACATATTTTGGGGCCTTAGCTTTCTAAGTCAGACAAAGGTGCACTGACAGACTCTGCCATCCTCCCCCCAATCACCTTGCACTTTGCAGCCGAGTTTTCTCTTAAATTCTATTATGCCTCGTCATTCCACAAAAGAATACCGTCAAACATTTTCTTTCAGCTTTTAATGTGGGAAAACATATACAAAGGTCTGCGCGCTTACTTCAAGCGGAAGAAGCAGCACCCGGCGCTGCTTTCTGCGCCCCTGAAGAGCTCCTCCTCCAACTCCAGCCTCACTGCGGACCCGGAGGTGGCGGCACCGGCGGACTCGCCAGAGCCAGACAAGGAACAGACGGAGAAAAATCCCTGGCCCGAGTGGATCCACGCCTACCTCCAGTACAGGTTCAACCTCTATGATCGCACAGGTAAGTGTCGAAAAACACACATAACACATGAGTGATGTTTGATTGCTGGTAAGAGTGTATAATAATCATGTAAGCAAAGGTTCACAAATTCGCTGAGTGCCTACAGCCTTTACGTGTTATATGTATGATTTAAAGAGCCCACGTTTGTTTTGCATCATATATTTCGAAATCTGAAGCAGCGTGTGAAGCGTCTGGCTTCTAAGAAACCACAGGTCAGAAACGCTGAATGAGGTTAAGTAAGCCAAGTTGCGTAAGGTGCACGGATAAATTACGGATATTTGGATAAGCATGAGTAGAACGAGTTACTTATCAGCACAGAACATCAGGTCATGGTCTGCCGTGTAACAGTAACAGGCTTCATAGCATCTGTTCTCTGGACAGAAAAAAAAGTTTTTGCTATTCATTTCAAATTGTCGCATTAACATTGCGATCAAACTCTGGACATATCTTTTCCATAATTGTAAAGAAGCGATTACAGTAACGATTGCACTTTTATCACAATTGTACATACATTTACGATCAGCATGCATCCTCTGAAGGTCGCGATTCATTTGTCAGCTCCAGTTTATGAGCCGTTATGCCTGTATCCTCTTGGCGCCAGCCTTGTGTGGGTGACAGACCGAATCCTTAGGTTTGTCTTGCGATGATGTGGCGTTTAGACAGTGGTTAACTGTTTAACTAATTATGCGCGGAATGTTCAGCGTTGATATAAATTTTCTGCAGATAACGGTACACCGAACCCACCTACCCGTCTTTCAGGCGATGGCGTCATTGACGAGGAGGAGTTCGTTTATGTGCTTACCGATTTCGGCGTCCGGGAGCGCTTCTCTCGTCAGGCGTGGAAAATGTTCACACAGGTAACAAGCTGGGGTGTTGCATACGTTTTGCTGACCTGACAGCGTCTTATTCATGCCTGACAGTATTTGTTGATTGATAATTTTTATTTATAACTAGTGTTCATCCCATGGCTGAAGTGCTGTTATTTGGCGTCAAACAATTCACTAGAACAAAAAAAAAATCATTTGAAGTGTTAGCAAACCAACCAAAGGATTGCATTCCAGAGCTCACGAGCCCCAGAAAACAGAGCAAGACGGTGAACCCGAGATCTTGTTATTAAAAACCAGAGTGTTTTTGACAAGAGAATGCCGTCTTTACCGGTCCACGAATCCGTTCACGAGACCGCACAGTGCACCTGTTGCAATCCGGCTATCAGCGTGCTCTGAAGCGCACCGCAGCCGGCTTATGTTCGCTCGGGCAGGAACCGGGCAGCGTTCAGGGTCAGACCGTGCATGGGCAGAGCTAATCTGATTCTCTGACCAATAACCTCGTGCTGCTGGCTATACTGAGCTCGAGTGTGAGGGGTCCTGCTGGAAGGAAAGACAGGTGGATATGATAAAGGGAAAAGAAGGGCAGGAAGAAAAGACAGGGAGGGAGGGGAGAACAGAAGAGTAGGGAAGACAAGAGAGAGAGAGAGAGAGAGAGAGAGAGAGAGAGAGAGAGAGAGAGAGAGAGAGAGAGAGAGAGAGAGAGAGAGAGAGAAAGAGAGAGAGAGGGGGAAAGAGAGAATCTGACATCCGCCCCCATCCCACTCCCCTCATGGAAGTTATGAGACCATGTCATCAGAAGGGTAAAAGAGGACAAGAAAGAGAGTATTAGGAAGCAGAGAGAGCAGGGAGAGTCTGACACCCGTCCCATCCCCTCCCCTCAGGGAAGCGGGGAGAGTCTGTCGTTCGACTTCTTCTGCCAGCTGGCCGAGCAGTACTACCTGAGCAACGACCCAGCCGACGCCGGCAACTTCCTCACGGGGAAACTGGACTTTGTGGCCGGCGAGTACAGTGAAATGTGAGAGGAAGCGTGACGAACATAGCCCGAGCGTGCAGTCTCGTAGGGCAGCGCTGTGGTTTGGAACTATTGTCCTAGCCGCTGGCATTCCGGTGGTGAAAAAGAGCCGTGCCTTCTCGATCAATATGAGAGCGTGGTGCACTTCTTTGTAGAAACTGAAGACTTAAGTGTCTTACGCGAAGTAATGTGACACCAATGTGCCTTGATGTGAGATGTCAAGTGGTGAGCTGAAATGAGTATGATTTGGTGGTGAATGGTGCCGGTCTCAGAAGTCCATAAAAGTACTGGAACGAACTTTTCCACGTTTCAGTGGCCTCACATGCATGAATACAATTTTTGAACATTGTAATAAGCCCATTCTCTAAAGAGGATTAGAAAGGATGCACTTTTGAGCGACATCACGCTATATTTCGGATGTTGGCTCGCAATGCTGTAAATAATCAAATGCTGACGAGCCTGCGCTGAGTATGAAAATGTCCACCCGCTTATCGTAGTACTGCTGGGAGCACCATACTTGGCGCGAGAGTCGCAGGGCGGTAACAGCATAGAGCCCAAAGTCGCCGGAGGAAGTCCTGGGTTCGATATAAGTGACTCCCGACAGCCCTGACGGCATTGTCAGTGCTCGCTGAGAGCAGCTGCAGTCAGCTTTGGTCGGTGAGTCAGACGAGCATTATATGACTATGTTGGCACGATAAACTTCGACTCGAAACTCTCCCGACAATCCGGAATTTCCCGTCAGGATAGCAGAGCTGGGAGCCTGCACGCAATAGACTCTGGTTCGTCCGTCCTGGCTTAATCGTTTGTTCCGCTAATCCGTCGTTTGAAATACTGGAGCTATATAAGGAAAAAATGATTCGTGGATCTAACTCTCCTATCCTTACTTTTGAATGATTTGGACCGCGCACCCTGCGATAATACGTTCGAGTCGCACATGTGCTCCTTGACGTCTGTTCAGCCAGACGGCCATCTTCGGCGCACTTCAACCGTTCGTTTCCATGCATTGTGCATTGGTTGGCCGTTGGGACGAGTTAGAGTATTTTGCCAGTCTATCTGTTTCCACTGCGCCAATATTTTGGATTTTCGCGCTGCGTCAGCGCTTTGGTTCACTGCCAGTCAGCACTTAGTGACCTCTCTACAGCGTTCATAATAGTTGGAATTGCCCAGCTGCGGTTTAGCGGTGAATGAGCGCTGTTTTAACGTTATTCACCACTAGCGTGTCAGCAATTACGCTTAATCCCAAAATACATCCGCATTTTGTTCACATTCCATTTGACTTGGTGACGCTCATGAGTTTTGAGTTTGTTTCTCATGCAACCACGCCCTGGATGATTGAGTATTGAAGAAAAGGGATGGGTACTGGGCAGAATAAGGAAGTGCAGGTTACTGATATCTGAACTTCTGTAATGCTTTTACATTATCCTATTACGGGTAAAAATTGTGTGGGTTAATATGACTGCCTATGTTTGTGAGCTATCCTATAAGTGTTGGATAAAAACGAGCTCACTCGTGATACATTTACTTATTTTTGCATTGTGTCAAGGACGTCTTGCTTATTTGTCACGAAAATATAGCAACAACATTTTACTTAGTAGAGCCGACATTTGCAGCGTTTGAGCTATTGACGAGTATACTTAGCTTGACATTGCTCGATATTTCCCCGTGTGTGGATACAGGACATCAAAATTACCAACTCACTTTGGTCACCGACTCAGAGTCAGAGCCTTGCGATGGCTGGCGCTTCAGCGAACCAGCAACAGACCCTGACATTTCAGCTCAGCACACGGCTGCTATACATATTGAACGGATCCCAGTTATAGGAAGCCAGGGTTGTCTGTGTGTTAAAGGCTGGGGCTGATTATGGAGTCGGGGAAGTACCGGTTTCGATGGCCCAGGCTCACTTGGCTTCAGCTAATTCGTTCAAGGCTGAATATTGTTTGGAGTCGGGAACAGCTGGTAGAATAACATCCCGTCAGTTCCTAGAGCGGTTAGCCCTCTACAATAGGAAGCCTAAAGAAAAGCATCAGCAGCTGTTTTACTCTTAACACGGTGTGCCTGCATATATATGTAGACCAAAAGACAGGGCAACATCCTAGCTTCATCTTGAGGCGAAGTCTAAGATCACATTTTATGCGCATACTAGCCTTCAATTTATTCAACTTTTAAGGAGACCACATGCATATTGCATGCCTATAATATGCAGAAAACCCTCCGTAACATTACGAAACATGCGCACCTATGCATAGTTCAATAGCCCCCGTCCTCTGGCACCACCGTTCTCCTATGTGTCATGGTTCCCTCGTTTTCTGTGCCGAGCGTTTCCCGCGACCGTAACAGACCAGTAGTAGCGTATCGGTGTGCCTGTATGCTCTTTTTGAGCTGGGATTGATAACGCTCAGTTATAATCACTGCATATTTATTGACAGTAATTCCACCCCGGTTAACACGCAACTCAATAGTGAGCTTTATTCCCATAACAAAATGATATACTTGTACATACATCACATTGCAAGATGGAAAGCGCGTCATTTATGAATAAGGGATGACTACCATGACACATGAATCAGGCATTTGCTCTGTGCAATGATGCAGTGTTCGCCATGGGCCGGGCCAGCCCAATGGACCATGGGCTGGGCTGAGCTACGGGCTGGGCTGGGCCCTCAAATATGAAGGATCGATGGGCTGTGGATGGGCTGGGCCATGAACTGTTAAGTGGAGTCAGGGGCTCACAACTGAGACAAAAACTATAACTACATAGCTTATTACTGTGCAAGACTCAAAAACGAGTCAATAAAGCACGCACGCAATGTGCATTGTGTATGCGGCTCGCAAAATATTGTTTCTTTGCTACCTTTGGGTACCTGTGCGGTGTCAATGATTTTTAACCCATTCATTTTTGACGGGTTGGGCCGGGCTGGGCTTTGACACTTTTACCATGAATGGGCTCGGGCTGGGCCGGGCTGTGTACCCATGGGCCTGGGCTGGGCTGGACTAGGATTTTGCGGCCCGTGGCGAACACTGCAATGATGTATAACATCTATTTCAAGGCAATGCATGAAACTAAATATAAAAAACACTCACAAGTCACACTGACATGAATATAAACGCGCACACATAGGGGAAAGTGGGGTAAGACGGGCACCTTAACTTTGGAGCCATTTTTCGGCCGGTTAGAAACATCATAGAAACGGGAAACTGAGTGAAAACCTTTTACAGACATTTTACTTCCATTTGCCAGAAGATGAGACTTAGACCTGACTCAACAAATAAACTGCAGCTATTTTTGCAAAACCTTGCAAAAACCCATCTTACCCCACTCCATGGGGTAAGACGGTCACATGGGTAGGGCAAGACGGCCAGCTTCTTTCACCGACCAGCACAGCTCGCAGCAAATGCCCGAGATTAGCCGCATTGATACAGTCGCTCGTTGGTCTCAAGTGCTTCGGAAATGGCAGTATACGAGATTCGTGCAGAAGGCGTATACTCGTATATAGGCCCTAGTTCAGAAGCCATGTAGAGCCGTTTTTCACATTCATTATTCGAGAATAAACTGTGCCGAAGGAATATTGCTAACATGTCTGTGAGTATCGGAATCGAACATATTCTTATCAGAAATGCTTCTTTTTTCCTACAGCAACAAAAATATTTTTACCATTACAGACCCATCGGATTCATAGTTGCCCGTCTTACCCCAAACTCAATGTCAGAAGTTCAGCACGATTTTTCTCTGTGGACAATTTGATGCAGACAAAGCAAATCCGCGGTGAATGAACACTGGAGGCATATGAGTGTGCCACAAGTGATTGCCAGTTTTTAACTCTATAGTGCTGCACACAAAAGCTTGCACAATACATTATGAATGTTTTCAATGAAATGAGTGTTTTAAAGAAATCAAAATAAAAGATTATTGACCGAACACAAATTCACCAGACTTCAATGGCGGTGTGTAGTGGGAAAGGCTATTCTGGTCCTAATTTTTCTCGCTCGTAGCGCTATTGGTTTGGTCTGCAGAGGGGGTGCCCGTCTTACCTACCTTGACCGTCTTACCCCACTTTCCCCTACGACGCACATAGTCAGAATCAGACTTAAATACCGCTGGTGGAATACGTCATGGGGTGTGAGTCACCATCAGCATTTTAGATCCACTATTATGATACATTCACAGCTCAGACTTGTCTGCTTGACACGCACATAGGGCCACAACTCCAAACCGAACCCGTTCAGTCAACTTTTCTCTTTGATAAGTAAACACAGCATTCATCCATAGCGCGTGAGTTGGGCCGGCTGAGACCCGCGGTGTATCCGCCTCTCTCTCTCTCTCTCTCTCTCTCTCTCTCTCTCTCTCTCTCTCTCTCTCTCTCTCTCTCTCTCTCTCTCTCTCTCTCTCATGTAGTCTGGTTTCGTACCAGGAGCTCAGAAGTTGCCCCTGCCGACTCTGCCCCTGCCGCAGGCGCGCTGACACTCCTGAGGCGTTACGAAGTTGTTGCCGTTACCCTGGCAACCGCCGTAGAGGAAAGGACGGCAGACGCCGTTCACGAAACCGAACCGGTCGAAAGCCGCCTTGCAGGGACCTTTCTTGATGGGCAGACTGCAGACACCGACATCCTGACGAGATCCGAACGTGCCGTGCTGGGGCGCGTTGCCGAATGTCTGAGGCAACCGGCCGAATTGCGCTGGAACACAGAAATACACGAACTGTTAGATAGGATGTCAGAATGAGCACTAAGCAGCCTACTATTCTGTATGCATGTGCTATCATTCTTATAGCCCAACTCATGTGTGGACTGACTAGTGACTACAGATGATTGTGGATGAAAGCAGCAGGGTGGTGAATTCCAACCTTTTTTTAGCATTTATGAATGTGAAATTCGGTCGCTGTTCGTTTCGGCTGCAGTCATGTCGACAAAAGTCACGTGACCAGCCACGTGACTGGTCAGGTGACTGAGGAGAAAACGGACCCATCTGTCACGTGAGCGGACAGGTGACTGATCCCATCAGCCGGGGCACCAGCTGCACCACTGCCCCGACCGTATTGGCTGGTCGTTCAGCGAACTTTGCTGCGGATTAGTGAATACCGGGACTGGTGCAGCGCTTCAGGATTGTTGAAGCCACGTCACGAACCCACAACTATGTGCGGAATGAATTACGTTTCAGTTAGCAGTAAACGACACGATGCAATGTTCCGTTCTTTTCCTATGGAAGCTATTTTGGTATCGACTGAATAACTTTCGGCCACGTCCACATAAGTGAGAAGAAATGAGATTCTTTATTAAGATACTGGCCAAAAGATCTTAGTTGAATGTATAATGATTACGTGCTCAGGGATTGCAAGACAAACGTGTGAAGAGCTAGGAACAGCCGCGCACTTTTCATTGCCATCATTCATTTCCAATCCTCTGTGAGCCCCAAATGAACTCCGGTGTGATCTCATCCCTACGTCACGAGGCTCTGTGTTCAGACCGAGCTGAACCGACCTACAAACCTGGGAAGCCCCGGGCAGATGTCAACTCTGATGGTCCACACTCACAGCTGGAAAAGCCGCGGAGGCCCGCATTACGTCATGAGGATCACTCTGTGCCAGCAGCCTCGGTAATGTGCCAAGTGACACGCCGTGGCACTATCGTCTGATCCTTTTGGCGATGTCCTCCCAGTCCCACCAATGAGGTCCTTTCCACGCCCCCCCCCCATCGTTGTGACACTCTGTGCCCGCCCTTGTCCTTGATTTTGGCAGCCGGTCTCTTTACCCTCGATGGTTTTATGGTCCGTCTGCTTAGTGCCTGCTTACTGCTTACTCCACGTTGAAAGTCCGTCCCTTCACCCCGCGGTAACAGTCCCTTCCGTCGATATCAATGCCTCATTACAGTCACGTTCTAGTGACAGGTTCCTTGGGAACATTGGCACACGAATAGCGCCACGAACGCAGGGGCTGTCGAGTCCGACATGACCTGCACAAGGTCGCATCTGCTGCGGCAAACCCCACCGCGCAACACACGCGGTAAGCGATAGCCACGAATGGTGGTGTCCGAGATAGGATAATGACTGTGTTGAAAGATGTTCGAGAACGTTGCTAGCAATTTGCAACGGTTTTGCAGAACCAGAACAGGGTCAGTAAGTCGATGCAAATCGTTACGATAGTAGTTTGTGCCACCGGCGGCTGTGTCCTGGTGATGGCTCATGGCGGCACATTGTGGGGGGCTCGTCCGCAGTGAAGTACAATCATTTGCAGAAATAATGACCGGGTGTGCTCGCTCTGGACGCCGCGCACCCCAAACGTGCCCCCTGATTGGAGAGAAACACACGACCGCTCACTTGTTGCCAGCCAGAAGACCAGCGCATGACCCAAGGCAAAACAGCGATGCGATGTGGTCCCAGCCGGGCAGGCCCCATTATTTGCCTAGTTGTCATCCATCAGAGCAATGGTCTGTCCTGCCTAGTGAGAGGAGCTCAACAGGGGCCGGGCCCACTTCAGTGGACGATTGGGTAATGACTGTCCCGCTGCATCAGCTCCACGGGGCACTGGGTCACTGGGTAGTGGGTACCGCTCCGAACTGCAACTGTTGCCGGGTGGGTGAGATGCATAGAAGATGCAGCAACCAATTGGGGCTGTTTAGGGGGCAACGCGCGGTGGATGGCTGTCGACAGGGACCTTTGAACAGAACCTTTCAGATGGAGCCTTCAAAGATTCTAAAGCTACCGAGTGCTCTGATAATTGCATTGAGCCGTGGCACCTCCCCTACAACCCGTAGCTAGCTCGTCCCTGCAAGTCTCGAGCGAAAAAAATATGCCATGTATTTTAATTGGCGGAGTGAGACGCGATTTCCACATGTGAGAACTGTGTTCCAGCCTTTAGCGGTTTTGGGAATGGCGGACTATTTAGAAACATGTTATTTTTTGGATTCATTAAACGCTGTAGTGAGTTACTGCATAAATAGTACATACCTCATACGTCTTATTGCAGCATGATACATGCCAATAAACACTTGTAAATCCCTCCATTATGAATCACGGTATGTCGTATTTCTGTTCATGCACATGTTTAGCGGCCAATGACATGGAAGTCATAAACTCTTAGCGTGCTGTGGCAGACGCCGCGCAGATCTGCCGTCAGTTCAGGACATGGAAATCCTCTCCAATGACCTCGTCTTTTCCGGGTGGTACCGCTGGCTCACAGCCTGGCACCCACCACGGCCTGTGTGGGTAGCTCAGCGGGCTCCTGGTGCGCTCCGCTGCACACCACCGCATCACAAATACGGCTGGATGGTCGGTGGATGACGTAGTGATGCTTATTTTGAGTAGGTCACGTAAGGGCCAGAGCCCAGAGGCAACAGGAATGTGGGCCGTATAGGTATATGTCACAAGTAGGTATGCTGCATTCACGAAAAGCGATATTTTCGTGTTCTCACAATGTTAACACGTTTACATTTATTACCAATAATATAAAGATTATGACTGTTTGCAATAATAAAGTGAAACGGTGATAAGTGCCTTGAAAGTCACCGGTTGTTTCTTGTAGCACCGTGTTAGGTGAATTTATCAAATCAAGGGAAGCCACTAAATAGTGGATTGAGATTGAAGAACAGTGATTAATTGCCTAAAATAGCTGCGCATCCATTTAAGTTTGGATGAGTGTGATACGCCCTGTTATGCTCACGAATTTTGATAGTGGATAGAAATGCAAAAGAACTTTTTGCTTCGCAGTAGCATGTCTCGTCATATCGTTTTGCCGCTGATGGTTGCATCTAATTCAGCTAACATTAATTACCATGAAATATGAATTGCCATGCTACCCATTGCTAATGGCTTCAAAATACTGACCTCTTATTCCGTGCCTGACTGGCGACTGCTGTGATATAGTAATGTAGCCTCGCAGCGCTTCTGAGTGTCACCTGATTGGCTGCAGTGAGCTACTGCTACCGCGTAGCACAGTAATTACTGCTGGTTCGTGATTAGTCCGACCCAGTTCAGTTCTGTCCCTGGCCCGCCAGCTGATATTGGGGCGGCGGCGACCGGCGCAGTACGGCGCCCTCGACCTTGGCCGTGAAATTGTGACGGGAACCGCCGGGAAATCGGCGCAGTGTCTTAACTGTTCGGGAACGGGAAACAACAGGGTGCAGAGGTGCCACATTGCGGGGCAGTAGCAGACCGATATGATGGGGTGAATGCGAGCTACGGCTGGGATGGGCATTGGGTATAAGGGTCGGGGACGTTGGACACAGGCTATGGTCTAATTGGACCGAAAGGGCCTAACCCAATAAAACAAACAAAAGGACACAGGCTCTAGATGAGAAGGCAAAAAGGCCAGTCAATAGCACTCTTAGCGGAAAAGCATTAGACTGGTCCATTCTTTGGTAACGCTTATGTCACATATAGAGCTGCATTTGAGAGTCGGTTCCCAGTTTTGACGGCAAGTATGTAAGCCACAGTTGTTCCACTGGTGCCCCTGTTCGGACGTAAAGGCCCGTTTATCATCCACGTTCGGTGGCTGACGGGGAGAGCCTCCCGCCTGCATGCCCCGGATATAACGGTGTCAGTGGGCTGAGATTGGCGGCATGTCACGCCACACGTAACTGCAATGGAATGACGGTCCCCAGAGGGATCGAGTACTGCAGGGTGAGGCTGCCTATGTGGCGGTAACGCACAATGGAGCGGTGATGCTATCGAAGGTATCGCAAGCAAGATAGAAATAATGTCATGACGTAGCGTTGTCAGCGCGGCCACCAGCTGGGCGCCTTCCGTAATAACGGAACACCCGGGCCGCACGCACAGCCGTTCCGTAATTGGGGGATGTAGTGATGGCCATGAAAATAAAAGACGTCATGGCGAATGAAGTGGTACCAATCGAGTTGAAATACAATCAACAGAGTCCTAAAAACATTTTTTACAATATTGTCTTTCAATATTTCCAATATTCATCACAAATGTCTTATTTTCTGAGGATTTTCTTCCACTGTTGTGACACCTTCAGCACTATGGGCGCCATTGCTTCTTTGAAGACTCTAACTTTGACCCCGGACACGTACTTATTATCGCACTTCTGCTGATCGAGTATCTATGTACACTAGTTCAAAACGCTCTCTTCGGCTGAATTTCGAGCAGAGGCCGCCGATATTGCTGGCCGTGGGCTACACCATACAGAAGCGGCATAAAGCCTGACCTTGATCTTGAAATTAAGTACGCCTTGGAAAGGTCTTGGAGAGTCCTATCGAATGTCACCTCGCGGGACTTGGTAGGGATCATTGGCTCTTAAGATATCGGTGGTTAGTGGTAAACGCGTTCGGTCATATTAACCCGCGTCCGGCTGGGGGTCCTGGATTTCCACGCCCTGCTGGGGGGGTGTTTGAACACCCGCCCTTGTAACTCGGCTCCTGGGCCACGTAGCGATACGCGGAAGGCGGCGTTCGAAAGAGCGTCAAAAATAATGACGAAATCACTTCGGTCAATTTTTTGGTCAGGTCAAAGGTCAGGTCACCAGAGGTCATTGAAGGCAAAATTTCGCCGATTTCCAGGTCGAATGTCGAAAATTTCCAAGAAGCCAACGCATAACTCGAGAACCAATAGAGCTACAGCGCCGCGGAAAAACGCATTCGATAGCCCTATTAAAGCCCTTTCTGAGTAATTCTCTCAGATTTGACCTAACGTCAACGGTTTTGCCTGCAGGGGGCAAAAACTGCAAAAATAGCTGTTTTTTTCGGAAACAGTTTTTCTGCAATAACCTTTGACTCAAGCCTTGTACGAGCTTACTTTTACCGGCATTGTGTTCCTCTCGTCAAGACGCATCGAATGAACTATAAGTTGACCTTGAAAGGTCAACTTGAAAATTTGACCTCAGGTCAAGGTCATGACCTGACCGGAAAGGGTCATGTTGCATATCAGTCGATCCGTATCGTCGAGCTGAACACATCTAAGGCGTTTTCATCGCTCTAGCATGCCTCTATCAAAAGTTATTTGCGAAAAACGGTTAGATACCATTCGTGACCTAAGATGACCTCAGGGCATAAACAAGGGTCACGGACACCATTTTCATGTTCAGTGTGTCTAAACCACTTGTAATTCGGTGTTTGGGAGTGTTTATAATGTCTTTTGTCCAAAAGAGGCGCATTTCAATTTTCTCCCATTGACTTATAATGGGGAGGTCGCAAAATTGACCTGACCTTAGGTCATTGATATCAAAATTCTGAGATATACATTTTGTACATGCTATTGCTCTTAGCAATCGCTGAAAGTTTCAAAGCGATTGGTCACTCGGTGTAGCTATGACAGACATTGAAACTTTTTATGAGGTGAGGTCACTTCAAGTGACCTGGTTACCTGACCTTGAATGACCTTGGTCTGAAATTTTCACAACATGTGTAGAATTGATGTATGATAAGGTGTACCAAAAACGGCGGCGCTCCGCGCCGCCGTTTTTGAGATATTCGCGACAAACCACAAGGGGGGGGGGTGTTCAAACACCCCCCCCCAGCAGGGCGCGGGTTAATACCCGAACACGCAAAAACTCTGTCGGCGATGAGATTTGAACCCATGACCTTCCTCTACATTTTCCAGTCGGAAGTTTTTTTACCCCCAAGGTACCAGTTGGGTATTTGTCGAATGATGCCGAAACAAGCGCCAGTAGTTTTAGAATTGATAGCTCTATCAGTATAGCTTGAAGGTGGCGTACCCACTGATATAATGTAAGACGAGGAAGCCAGCAAAGTCCCAAATCATAGAATTTCACCACCAACCCAATGTTAAAGAGACCCGACTTTGGGTGCTTCTACCCCCCAGGTACCACCTCAGTTTTTAATAAATGCACGATTAGCCGACTGATATTGATAGAGCTTGAAACAAGGAACGTTTTGAAGCTGAAGGTGGCGGTACACATTGCGCCAGTTTTATTTGGGTTCAAGTAAACTTCAATTTTGTACGTTTTTTCAATGGAAAAAAGGTAACGCCAGAACATATCAAAAAGGTCCGTGGCCACGCTGACAACGCTACGAGGAAAGAGAATGGGACGAGAATTTTCCGGGAAGTTTACGGATTGGCGTGCTATGTGACATGCTTGCATATTGCATCATTAAATTTGCATAACATTGATATGAAAAATATTGTTATTGCGCATTGTCCAAAATGGAATAACGGTTTTCATGATGACATATCTGAATTATTTTCCCGATTTCCCATCCTGGGTCGTATAAAAGGCCAACTTGACCTTTTTGAGGCTACGGAACAATAAACGCATAGCTTTCGAAACTTCGAAGTCATTAGTGCCTATCAATGCATGAAAATGAAATCTCTTTGGATAGCTGTTGGATGTCATTTAAATAATGCGAAGATATAATGCAGATGAATATCAAATAGCACAGAGGTACAAAAAAATCTTTGAGTTAAACTTGAGCTAAATCTTGCATGGATTACACCACAAAGTGTGTGATGAAAACGCATACCACCCCACAGCCCGCACGCCCACGCCCTGAGGCATATGCCGGCAGTATCGACTTACCGCTATAGGACGGGTTCCAGTTCCAGTAGGCGTTGTTGGGCGCCGCCGCCGCCGCTGCCACCAGCACTGTCAGGCCGAGGACTGCGCTGCACATCATGACTGTTCAGACGGGACGAGTGTGTGCTGCCGGGATATGCGACTGGTGCTCACCTGGTCTGTGCACGCCGCCCCACAGTCGACCGGCTTTATACCGCCTGGCACGGTGACGTCATTATACTCTGCAGTGACGTCACACGCCGGCACCGGCGGCCGCCAAAAATGCTGGCACGCAGTCGGCAGAGCTGGTTGGTCTGGTGCGCCCCATCCCCTGGGGTGGAGTACACCGACCAGTAGTGTCCCTCGCCGGAGGGTACGGGACTGCAGTGCGACCCCGACACAGTGGGAGAGGAGGGGGGGGGAGGTGATTCGGGTCGGCCCACCCCCCGCGGGACCGAAGGCAGTCGCTGACGTCACGCGGAGGGAAGTGGCCGTCCGAGCGGCCGTTCGGTGGCCCTCCCGGCACTTTGATCTCATCGGACGCGCCAGGACGCTGCAATTGGGGTGGCCTTGGCCGAGAAAAGGGGTGCCGGCCTCGGACCAGGAAGTCACCATGGGACCGTCGCGTCGCATTGGCGACCGGCGACGGTGGAATGCCGGTCTTTGACAAGTCGTAGACCCATGCGGAACACGCCAAATCTGACCATGAAGGGAGCGCATCGAACCCGGCAACGGAAGCCATGGGGGAAATCTACGCATATCTTCTCATAGAGGATTCTCCATGGCTCCAAGTGGAAGATCAGGATTTCTTACACACCGAATCGAAAGATCCATTGACCAAAGACACGAGGATACATCGTAATGAACCGTTCGTGGCAAGAACAGTTGATCATTCCCCGTCCAGGAAAAGATCACTTGATCTTTTCCCGGCCGGAACTTAAGATCACCCGTTTTGAGCTTATAGAATTAAAGAATTAAAGAATTTATAACAACTAATAGTGTGTAAGAAATAAAACCAGTATAACGCCTTTTGGGGCGACTAACGGAGCGAGCGAGAGGATGAGCCTTGCACGTGCGAAATTTCGAGGGGGTACCTCCAACTGACTTGTGCACGGCACCCTACTAACCGGTCTCTAGCGAGGTGCCAAATTTGAGCGCAATCGGCCCAGCCGTTCTCGAGATCTGGAAGCGACACCCTGCACGTGCGCACGTGCAGCAGCACCCCAACTCTGGCACATGGATATGCATTGCCTAGTGGGTGCCTACCTACATGACATCTTTCAGCGCAATCGGCCCAGTAGTTACCAAGATATTGCAACAATTACAAAACTGACAACTCTTCGTTTTGCACGTGGCACGCGCATAAGGGGTCACCCATTGGAGGGTGGTTGCCACCCCCCCCCCCAGGTAGTTTTTCTGCTCTGCACTCAACATTTTTAGAGATAGAAGCCTGATAGCTGCTCCTCTATCCTTTCTAAATGTCCACTCAAGATTTCAAGTTTCTGTGGTTTTGGGTTTCGGAGATGGGGCATTCCACGTCAAGTGAGACAAAAAATGACCATTTTGAACCTCACCTCCTCCGATTTTTACGAAACTTTGTGAAACTACTCATCTATATGTGAAAAGAAAGGAGACATGTTTTTGTAAAGATATGACGTCACGTTTCAGAGATACACGTCATCAAACATTGACTTAGGCAAGGCACATTATCATCTTTAAAGCGTCATAACCATTGAAGTTTTAGACATATCACCATGAGACAAAGTGTGAAATGGAGGAAATACATCAGGCTTTAATTTGAGGATGACAGTATTGACGTAATATGCTAATTAATGAACTCAATTAAAATTCAAAAAATAAATTTTGATTTTTTGAAAAATGGGTACCCTTCGATTTTGCTGATTTTTACATATTTTATTCTCCAATACATTAGCTACATCATATAAAAAATCCAGAATGGGCCGACGTCTACGTAACTGTCTTTTGGACTTCGTAATGTCTGGCACTCGCGTGTTTCGTTTTAGCAACGAAAAAGAGGCGCTACCCGGAGATGCTTCTTTCTACTCAAAACCAAAGCAAACCTAGCCTGACCTGACGTGACCTGACCTAATCTAACACGCGTAAATATGTACAAACCTCACGGCAGTTGCCGACTGGCCAAATGCTACCCAAATGCCCGGAGAATGCAATTGGGCATTCTCCGGGCAGCGCCTCTCTTTGGTTGCAAAAAGGAAATACGCCTGACACTCCCAGCGCTACGGGAGAAAGGCCCGGTTTAGCCAAGAAAAAAAATCAAAAAAACGGAATTTGAATTGTAGGTGGGGCGGTGGGGAACTTTATCGTGTGCCAATTTCATGGCCCTAGATCAATATCTTCAAGATCAAATGAGGTTAATCGTGATGAAATTTGCTATAGTGACTATTTTGCGTTTATACGCCCATAGCTCTAAGAGTTACCGGCCGATTTTCCTATTTCTTCCTTTATACGACATTTGTAGTGTTATGAGAATCTCTAGTTAATCTAATCATAAATTTGGCAGTTAGTGGCCTGCTAAGAGTAAGAAGATGTCGCCGGCAAAGACGGGGATCGGCCGACGCGGGAAACGTTTCAGTCACAGATTGTGTTTGCACCCTAATAATTCAATTTTTACCAGTTGATTTTCGTATTTATTTGAACATTAGATTGCCTGTACATTTTTAAGCCTTCACACAAAATTTGACAAGAATCGATCATAATCAGCGGTAAGAAGCGCAGTGCAAAGATGGAACCGTCCCGCGCCGGCACAGTCTACCATTCAGGCGGCAACGGCCGGCGCCGGCCGCCGCGCCGCTCCGGCAAGATGTTTGACTTTACACCGTTATTACTAGAAAAGTTGTGGACCGATTTACCTATTGCTTGCACGGGAGGATTTTCAATTCAATTCTGGACAGATGCTGAAAGTTTGGCGTTAATATGATAATTATGGCGTGAGTTACTGGCGAAAAACAGGTGGGGTTGGCGAAATCAGCCCCTTCCATCGCCCGTGCTACCTTGCACTACTTGTTGCTATATCATCCAAAGTTATCGTTGGCCCACTCTAATTTTCTCAGCACGTATGCCTTACGTGTAGTGGAAGACAATATCTAAATTTGAGCGAAATCGAAGGGTACCCATTTTTCACAAATTAGATTTTAAGAAATTAATTCAAAAAAAGATAAATTCAAAATCACCAAAAAATGTTAAAATTGCCAAATTTAACTAGCATAACTCCTTATGTACACGTTTCAGTTTGTTTGAAATTAATAGCTTCAAAAAATGTTGAAGCTATAGATCTTTCAAGATTGCAATACACGTCCAATTCTGCTAAAAAAGCAGAAGTTTAGCGGCTTGTATCTCTGTAGCCCGAGGGCATATGACAAAATCCTTTGACCCTCAGAGGTTTCACCCAATAGCCAACAAGTATACCAAGTTTGAACAAAATCGCAGAGGTGGCCGATTTTGGCTGTCCCGGTTGACATGGAATGCCCCAGATATGACCTTGTTTTTCAGGTCATGTCATGACCCAAATGACCAATTCTCAACATCTTACGTTGGCTATGGGCCTTGTGAGCTTTTGACACCTTGCTCTCGGCCTTTTTTGCCAGTCTTACCTCCCACCTAATGGAACATGTTGTTCGACGATGTACAGATGTCAAGGTCAGGGTCAAGGTCAACCTAGGTCATCTAAAATAATTGCGTTTTAGGCAAGCTGAATTTACTTTTCGTGAAGCTTTTTGACTGCATTTTGGTTAAAGCTTCTCAGATCATGATTTCATGTAATATGGACACATAAACAATCGGTGCACACATCGGTATACACACAGACACACAGACATACAAACACATATCAATTATCATTGACCTTGACCTAACTTGACCTGAAATGACCTCAGCAGCAAAAACCTGGTCGGGTAGTGTGACAAAGAGGTTCTAGATGGCTTGGCACCAGAAAACGGCATCGTCATCGGTATTTGATAAGCACGCAGCGCACTTGATATCCAACGGTGACCCAAAACAGCGACATTTTTTAGTTTGACCTGACCTGGAAGGTCAATGACTGACCTGAGAAGGTAAAACTGGGTATCATTGGCTTTGTCTCTTCCCAAAGAATCTTTTTGGTCTTTACCGCGAAGCTCTATCTCCAACAGGAACGAAATGACGCACATGGGGGGGGTGATTGCCCCCCCCCCCCATGTGCGTTCTAGGATGGGAAAATGGCATGTATGTATAGTCGTCTACAGAATGATGTTCCACTCCTCAGAAGCTATCGGTTGACCAGAGCGATAAGTTGTGCCGTTTATCACACAATTAAACGTGCCGATTTTGAGCATTGGGACAAAGCTACAATTTGTGAACTCAGCTCGTGTGATGCGGCATAGCCTACCACTCCAGGCAAATAATTGCCTGTGAAAAGTGGAACATCATTCTGTAGTCGACTATACGGGCGAGGGTTAATCCCTGCACTTATGGGGTCAAGCGGATCCTCCCGGTTTTCGCAAATAACTCGCGCAAAAAGTGGCCAATTGCAACGAAAATTCCAGAACCCTCGGGCCTCGAGTTAACCAATTTTACACTTACCCTGAAAATTTCATGACCCAAATGACCTCTGACCTGTGACATATTTCTTGAGACCATGTTTGGCAAGAATCTCGATTCGGCGTATGTCGGCTCACATTATCCTAGCGTTTGCTGTCTTTTGTGGTTTTAAACGTTCAAACATGAGAAATGATGTTGGTTCTATGCATTTTGGTGGGTGTCAAGGTCACGTGAATATCAGCTCAGGTTAATGACCTTTGATGACCTCTGTTCACTTCTTCGAGTTACATGTTTCTAGGCTATTTTTTTCCTTTTATTTTTATTTTCATTTCTTATTTCTGACTTAACGAAGTTCTGACAGGTCCCGATTCTCCCGACTTCAGGGTTATGGACTTGACCTAAGGTCAATAAATTGCCTAGGACCTAAATATTGAGTATCATCGGCTTCCTCTCGTCATGGTCAATACGCTCTTTTTTCAGCGAAGCTCCAGCTCGATCAGGGGCCGAATGACAGTTGGACCCCTTCCCTCCCTATGCGTTTGCGGCTGGCAAACCACCAATATGGGCGAGGGTAACTTTTGATGTTAGTTTATGTGGTCTAACATTTGTCTGTGAATGTATATAGTTTTATAGATA